ATGTTCTCCCTCCCCTCTTCTCTCTCTCTTTCTCTCTCTCTCTCTCATTTCACGTAACATAATTTTCTCCAAGCTCATCTGTGTTGCTGTGAATGGCAGAATTTTATTCTTTTTTATGACTGAGTAGTACACCATTGTGCATATATACCACATTTTTCTTATCCAGTCATCTGTCAATGAACATATAGGTTGGTTCCATATCTTGGCTATTGTAAATAGAGCTGAAAACTTAAATTTTTATGTATTCAATATCTTTTTGGTTAAGAGAAAAACTTGGAAAAACATCTTATTCACTTTTTAATTTAAAAAAGGGTTGAAAATTAAGGGTTCTTCCTTTGGGGTCCTTGAATGTACTTCAGTGGGGTTCATGAAACCTCTGAAATGATAAGCAAAAGTGTGTATGTAAATTTTTCTAGGGAGAGGGTTCATAGTTTTCATAGGTTTCTGAAAAGGGTTAATAATGATCTGAGAGTAGAGTCACTGACTTGGGTAAAAATTATATATAAAATGACTGAGCTTATTTGAAAAAAGAACCTTCCCCATGACTTACTGAAAATGTTAAGAGATAAAAGTTATGTTAGAATAACTTCTCCTAAAAAAAATGAAACATAAAACTAGCTTGAAGATGTACCAGTCTAAGACTATGCTGAAGTCTCATGTTTATACATATTTATGTCTTTATTTAGGGCTTGGATAGAAAACTAAAAGATGGGTAAATAATGGAAGAGTATGTATGTGTTCAGATGTAAGGATAGTTGTAGTGATTCATATTATGTACCAATAGTGCAGATATTTATTGGTGTGCTATAGCAAATTTCTGAACTCATCCAACATTTGTCCAAATATCTATTATCCTTTGTGTTTTTCTTTTTCTCTTTCTGACCTTTATAAAATGTAGCTCCTTTTTAGAAATGCAATTATAAAATATCTCTTTAGCAAACAGAGCTAAAGAGATCTAACATCAAGCCACCCATACTGAGGAACTTATTAAGTCCTATGATGTTAATGAATGAGAATTCCCTTTCCTCAATGATCAAGTAAACAATTTCATATTCCGATTTATTAAAAAAAAAAAAACCAATATGTTCTTAGGAAAAGCAAAGCAGTCTCCATTTTCAACGGTTATATTTGACATCTATGACAGATAACATAGATATGATATCATTAGTTAGTTTAATGGGAGAAAAATTAACATAACAAACACTAGCATTTCATGTTCACAAGAAGTCAGTTACAAGGCAAAGCAGGAAATAAACCTTAAATTTTTAGCTTAATCTCAGGCATTTAAACTATGATTTTTTTTATTCTTCTTCAATTAACTTATAAGTATTCCAACTAGGTAGAGATTAGGCAGAGCCATAGGAATTATAAAAGAACGCCAACAATTATAAGAATAAGAAATCTTTTCACAGTGAAGGAGATAAACCTTTCCCATGGCAACATCAAAGGAAAAAGACAACCTAAAATAATGGACTTTTTTTCCTACACACTTGATTATAAAGGCATAAAGGATTTACACAGGATTGACCTTGTCACTGAGCTTGTTAGAAAAGACCCAGCTAAAGAAAATGCCATGTTAATAAGTCAGGTAAGTGATAGAGGAATTACCCTCACAAATATATTGAGACTATGCTTTTGAGACACACTGTAACTTATATCCATATGCAAAAAGAATCTATCCTTCCCTAAATATATCAGAGATAAGCCTCTCACTTTTTAGTTATTTCAGTTCTAATAAAGAGAAACAGAATTTTCCAAACCCCTGGATGGAAAAAAAACTGAGCTGTCAGAAATGTTCCTGCTGAAACCTGTTAGGATTCTGGGCTATACCACTGAGTTCAGTGAATGGGATAGTGAGGGAGGTTCATGAAGAGACTCTTGCCACCTCACCTCCACTCATTCCAGGGATATTAAAAATAGATAGGGGAAAAAAATGTACCTGAATACTTATCATTACTTAAGGAACCAGAAACTTCAGATCCTAATAATGGACTTTTGAGAGTGTTTTGATTTAGGTTAAATTAATGGAGGTAATTTAAAGAGGTGCTGATTCTATGGTAACTAAGATTTTTCATTTAAGACTGTTGATGTTGTAACTGAAAATCCTTAGTATCAAATAATCTTGGATGTCACATTTAGGCTCAGTCTACTCTGAAAACTTGTTTTTTAAAGCATAAAAATATATGTCATATATGCAGGTGGAAAGAAGTTTAAACTTACAACCCTCAAATTAACAGGAGAAAAATAACTCATGAAGCCAAAAAACAAATATAAAGAAAAATCAGAAAACAAAATAAAACAAAAAAAATCCACATAACAAATTTTACAGGCCTCCTCAAAAACATTAACAAAAAGCTAAAAAACAAAAAAAGGATGACCTCAAACCTTCCCTTTTATTAACTGCCTTTAACGTTAATAATGTTCTTTCATTTCTTATAACAAAGCCTGCTTAGAATCAATTAATCAATCCTCAACTAATATTATGATAAAAACAATTTTTGAAGAAAGATTGAATGCTTTCCTCTCTAAGATTAGGAACAAGGCAAGGATGTCTATTCTCACCATTTCTATTCATCTCTGTAATGTAGGTTTTAGCTAGTGCAATAAAGAAAAAGCAATAAAAGTCATCCAGATCAGAAAGAAAGGAGAACTGTCTTTCTCAGTAGATGATATAATCATTTATATAGAAAATCCTATGAAATCTATAAAAAAAGATACTAGAACTGATAACTGAGTATAATAAGATTATAGGATTTAAAGTCAACACATAAGAAAATCATGTTTTTACATACTAGCAATGAACAATCAGAAATTGAAATTAAAAACATTCATAATAGCATCAAAAAATGAAATATTTACAGATAAATTTGTTTTGAAAATGTGCAAGAACAATACACTGAAAACAACAAAATACTGCTGAGAGTCATTACAGATCTAAATAAATAGAAAGAGATGGGGTCTTCATGAATTGCATAATTCAATATTGTTAAGATTTCAATTCTCAAATCGACCTATAGTTTCCACCTGATCCCAACCGAAATCTCAACAGGCATTTTTATAGAAATTAACAAGATGATTCTAAAAATTCATATGAAAATTAAAGGAACCTAGATAAGCCAAAACAACTTAGAAAAAGAACAAAGTTGGAAGATTTATACACCTTGACTTCATGATTTATTATAAAGCTATGGTAATCAAATGTAGTGGGGTACTGGTGGAAGGACAGAGACATAGGTCAATAGAACAGAATAAAGAGTCCAGAAATAGATTCACACATATATGATCAATTAATTGTCAACAGAGATGTAAAGGAAATTCAATGGTAGAAATAATAGTCTTTTAATCACTTCAAAAATGGTTTTGTAACAACTGGACATTCACATTTTAAAAAAAAAAAGAACATCAATCCACACCTTGCATCTTGAACTACATACAAAAATTAACTCAAATGGAAATAAACCTAGATATAAACCTTAAAACTATAAAACTTCTAGAAGAATACACAGGAGAAAAATATTTGTGACTTTAGGTTAGGCAAATATTTCTTAGATACAACACCAAAAGTATGAGTCATGAAAGAAAAACTAATAAACTAACTTCATCAATATTAAGAACTTCTGCTCTTTGAGGACACTGTTAAGAAAGTGAAAAGACAAGCCATAGCCTGGAGAAAATATTTGCAAATCACATATCTGATAAATGACTTATATCAAGATGATATTTTTTAAAATGCTCAAACTCAGAGGACACTGTTAAGAAAGTGAAAAGACAAGCCATAGCCTGGAGAAAATATTTGCAAATCACGTATCTGATAAATGACTTATATCAAGATGATATTTTTTAAAATGCTCAAACTCAATAATAAACGGCAAAATTTAAACATATTTCTCATTTAACAAGACATTTAGATGGCAAATAAACACATGAAAAAAGGCTCATTCATTATGGAAATGTAAATTAATACCACAGTGAAATACTACTACATACCTATGATAACGGCTAAACTGAAAAAGACTGACCATACCAAATGGGAATGAGGACATGGAGGAACTAGCGATCTCACACACTGCTATGCAAATGTAATATGGAACAACCATTTTGGAAAACAGTTTGGTAGTTTCACAACTACCATTTAATCCAGTCATTCCCCTCTTAGGTATTTACTCAAGAGAAAGGAAAGGATATGTCCATACAAAGACTTTCACACATATGTTCATAGCAGCTTTATATTTGTAATAGCCCAAAACTAGAAACAACCTAAATCTCTATCAACAGTTGAAAGGATAAACAAATTGCTATAGTCATATAATGGAATACCACTTGACATTAAAAAAGAATGAACTAGTGAAAAGTACAACAAGTTGATGAATCTTAAGATGATGAGTTAAAAAGATGTGCAGGCACTCAAGGGGTTGGGGGTGCGGAGAGAGGATCCATTTATATAAAATTGTAGAAAATGCAAACTAATCTATAATGACACAAATCAGATCAGTGGTTGCCTGGGGACTGGAAGGGAAAAAGGAAAGGCGGGAGAGAGAGATATTTCAAAGGGGCATAAGGAAAATTGGGGGTGATGAATATGTTCATTATCTTGATTGTGGTGATAATTCCCCAAGTGTAAGCATGTCAAAATTGTAAACTTTAAATATGTACACTTTGTTGTATGAGTAAAGCTGTTAGTTATTTTTTAATGGCAAAAGGAATGATCTGAAAGACTAACCTGTGTAGCTCTAAATGAACTCTTCTAAGTTAATCAGAATTTAGTCAAAGTCAACGTCAACTTTACTATGGGCAAGAATATTAAAATAATCAATTCCTTTGAAAATCTGAATGACTTCTTCAGCAGAAATAACAGAAAAGCCAATGAAATTATTACTTCACATTCATAATATTCACATTCATAATATTTTTGATATGCTGGTGGTTATTAGCAAGTTTTTGGTGGTTTCTGGACAAGTGAACTACATCCAGGAAAAGTACACTAACATGAACAATCATACCTTGATTTGTGCAAACGGTCTTTCATAACCTCCAACATACAGAAGGCCAACATTCTGAGGAAGCAACCTACAAAGGGAAAAAAAGCATTATTTATAAAATACTATTCCTTATATGTAAGGTTGTATAATTACCAAAATTTGTATAATAGATAGATGCTGTTTAAAAAAAAAATCTATGTAATTACTGACTTTTGCACTATAAGACAGTAACCAGCAAAGGAATAATGCTTATATTTCAGAAAGTAATGGGTCAAATGTTGAGAATGAAAACTTACGCGTAGAACACTTTTTAACACATTCTGACAAAATTACTACATAGTGTCTTTGGGAAAGAACAAAAAGAATTAAAGGAAATGATATCTAAAAATTTATAAAGATTCAATTCAATAAACACTCATCACATGTCTATACTACACATTACAGAAGATAATAAAAATCCAAATAATTCAGTCCTAAAATCTAACAGGAAAACCTGATACGTAAATAATTAAACCTAACAAAAGCTAGCTTCTAGTAAGTGGTATAATAGAGATATTCACCATTGGAAAGTAGTGGTAAGAGGTTCTTGCTATGAAGAGATCTGGAAAAGTTTGAATAGATGGGATTTGGACTTAGCCTTACACAGTAGGTAACACAAAGGAAGAAATTTAAATGAAGTCCTGAGGATACAGACGATTTGAGACAAAGAATAGACAAGTATGACTGAAATAAGGGATAATCTAGTTGGAGATAAGAATCCAAAGGAAGTTTGGAATGGACCATGAAGAATTTCAAATGCCATCTATTCATTTTGTACGCAATATGGAGTTATATTTTAAAAAATGTACTTATTCTCATAAAACAATAAATGTATATGGAAATAAAAATCAAACCATATAGAGTACGTATAAAATAAAATAAAAATGATTACCTTCCCTGAATCATCCCTTCCTTTCTGTTTCCACTTTTAAGAGGTCTATCAATCTTGATTGCATTGAAACATTATGAATGAAGAAATAGCATCATTAGATCTGTGTTTGTGGAATGTGTAGAGAAAAACTGGTAGTGGTACAGGGTATGGGAAGGACATAATCAAATATTCTTGTGTTTAATTAAGCTAAGTGTAGATATATCTCATCCTTCTTTTATCACAAATCTTTCCCTAATGGACATTGTGAATAAACAGACACAACCCCAGTCTCAACAGTACTGTACATAAAGAAAAAGAAAAAAAATTATTTGTACTTCTTACCCAAAGCTACCAGGCCAAAACTCTTCTTAGAGTCTGGACAGTAAAAATTAATAGACTTTTAAGGAAGGTAACAGAATTCTGATGGTCTCTAGAATAGCTGTAAATTCTATTGCATGAAACTGAGAGTGAAACATTGAGTAGTAACTAAAGTAAAGAAAAACCCTGCAAACTCAAAACAATCAAATGAAAAATTTTCAATGTACCATATTGGTCTAATCACAGAAAATTAGAACGAAAGATTATTATCATAACCATCTCTTTGAAATTCATTTAGTGGCTTCAAAAACCTTACTTCGGGCTGGCCCGGTGGCGCACTGGAGAGTGCGCCGCTTGGGAGTGCAGCGGCGCTCCCGCTGAGGGTTCGGATCCCATGTGGAGACCAGTTCCCGCTCACTGGCTGAGCGCGGTGCAGGCGCGACGCCGAGGTTGCGATCCCATGTGGAGACCAGTTCCCGCTCACTGGCTGAGCGCGGTGCGGGCGCGACGCCGAGGTTGTGATCCCGTTACCAGTCAGTAAAAAAGACAAAAAGGAAAAAAAAAAAAAACCTACTTCAATGATTCCAGGATATCCATTTATTTGTAATTTAACTTCTCTGAAACTGGGATGCCTCTGATACTCAATTGTGTTTTGTAATTGTTCTCAGGTGACAGCTGTGAGGTGGTTGTGTGATTACCCTCCATTGATAGGGTCTAGTAAGACCACAAAAGCACTCTCTCAAAACAATTTAGATTCTATGAAATAAGGTAGATATTCAGTCTCCCAGGAACACACTCTTTTCCCTACATTCTCTAAGGGCCTATTAAGCATTAAAGCCACTAAAAAAATTAATAGCTGATGAACACTATCCTGAATTAAATCAACTTAGTAAAAAGCTTCATACATTTGGAATGTAAGTGATGATTTGTAGTAATGCATTTAATATATTGTTGAAGGTTACAAACATGACTAAAGGCATTTGTTTACTAGATTCAATTAGAAAGCATAGGAAATGTCCGCACACCTCAACAGTGAAACGGAGAATTTCTTAGCTACTGTTCCACAAATAAGAAATTAATCTAACCAACAAAACTTTAAACTTTAAATCACTCACAAATCATTGCTGGTATCATAAATCTAATGTTAGTTATATACAGCAGTGGTAATTCATTTCCTATATAACAAATGTTCACAGAAAGCTTGATAAACCCCCTTTAGAAGTAATGATAGTCACTGTTCATACAAATAGATGTTAGAAAAGGAAGAGAATGAAAGCTGGCTGACATTTAAAAATCAATATGCCTCTAATTACTATGCATATGCATTTCAGGAAGCTTGCCAATATACAATTTAGTGTGTCCCCTCCCTCCAACTTGCCTATCTAATAAACTACCTTTTTCAAAACAAAAAAGTTCTTACATATATCACTTAGATAGCACGTATATATATTTCACTTTAAAAATACTGTTCTTTCTTATTCATGTACCTATTAATCCTTAACACCTTCATTTGAGTGGGTTTTAATAAGCATCATAATTTAAAAGGCCTGCTATGCATAACATAATTAATACTTCGAGAACAAAAATTCCCCCTTTTAAAATAGAACATTTCTTTAACTGTTTTTAACTTTCAAAAATTATTTTGCCAAGTTGTATACATAATTATTGAAAAGTAACAGGCACCATTTTATCATGACAGGGTGCCTGTATAGAATATAGCAATCACACATTTTAAATCCCCAGAGTAAGGGCATTAATTCAGCACTGACAAATGAACTTATATGTATATTTTAAAATAGAAACCTTGATTCATTTAGTACCAAGTAATTGTTTTGCCTTTGAGTTAGGTGAACATTACCATAACTTTTATACAAATGCTAGCAACCACTAAAATATTTGCTTTCTGTAGTGTGGCTACCAAAGAGGATGGTTTTGGAAAGTAACAATGAAGAGGCACTGCTGGGGAAAAAAATCTATTACAGCTTTTGAAAAAGTAAAGATAAGCAAGACTAATGCTCATTTTGCTTTCAATTTACCAGACACAAATATTAACAAATATCTGTTCTGAAAAGAAAGCCCCCAAATTGTTTCCAGAAAAGTTTCTCACGTAAAAAAGTTAAAATCTGTCAGGTAATAGAATAAACATGCATTTTCAAAACCGAATAGCTCATAAGTTAAAGAATAAATGTCTAAGTAAACTGCAGGATAAAGAATACTGTACTGTATTTTTACTATTCATTTCTTAACTATAGTAAGAGAACACAGTTTGTGTGGTAGCGATTTTCTAAATATTTGTTGCGATTTCTTTGTGCCCACCTAACACTAAACTAAAAGTTTCTATCTGTGCTTTAAAAGGACGTATGTTTTATATTTTGGGGGCTACAGTATTCTAAATATATTTAGTAAAGAGATTCATTTAAAAACAAAATAAAACCTAAAAAAACAGAATAAACATTATTTAAAAGAACCTCATTCACCATATACTGATGATATATCAGACACAGAAAAATTGCTTTAAATTTCAAATCAAAAGTTAAAAAAGGGAAAGGGGATCTTTCTAGAAATAAGCTAAATAACTCAGAATTAACTCTGTCTAAAGCCATAACTACAATATCCATTATCATATACTTTTAAATTGTAACAAAATACCTTGAAACAATTTACAGTATCTTCCACACTGATTCAGATAAAATCCTACTTCTTATCCAGACAGCAAGTAACTCAAAGACCAGACTACATCCAATTTATATACTACTAAGGAAAAAAGAAAAAGAAAACAAAGACACTTAATACGGGGTCAATAGTGCCATTTTGAATTTTAAAAAATGCATATTACTGGGAAGTCCTACATTATTTTTTGAATCTTCTAATAGGATGTAAATAAAAAAAAGCATATGCCATAAAGCAAATTTCTAACAATATAATTCAGATTACAGTCTTGGAACATAAATCTTAGCTAGAAATCAATAACATAAAAATAATCAGAAAACCCCTTTGTCTGAAAAGACAGATGTATACTTATAAATAACCCATAGGTGAGAGAGGAAATCCCAACTGAAATTATAAAATATTTTGAATTGAGTAAGAAAATAATAATATATCAAAATTTGTGGGGTGTGGCTAAATCCAACTTTGTAATTTATAACCAAAATATATATATATATAAAAGAAGAAATGCTTTATACAAATTGATGAGTTAAGTATGCACCTCAAGAATCCAGAAAAATGACAGTAAATTAAACCCAAAGGAAAGAAATAACAATGAGCAAAAACTCATGAAATAGAAAACATGGACTAGAGAGGATCAAAAACACTAAAAACTGTCTCTTTTAAAATAATAATTAAGATAATACCCCTTCTGAAGATAGAGCACTAGGGCTTCAACTCAGAAGTCTGGTTAGGCAACAGCCATTTAGGTAGAATTGAAAACCTTTGTTTTGCTTTGGTTGTATTTATTGTTCCAGTTTCCTTCCATTCAGGCTAGCGATTCTGGTTTTCTATTTATTGCAGTGATAAAAAGTTTTATTTTAAAATAAATTCAGTTACGAGTGGAGGGAAAATGGCGGCGGGTCTGGAGCACCCGTGTCGGGAAACAGCGCGATCCTGAGTGNTAAAATAATAATTAAATTGATTCCTAATGAGACTGACAAAGAAAAAAGATTAAGATACAAATAATCAGTAGAAGGAATAAAAAAGGAAACACAGCCTAAATATACTAATAAACACCAAGAAGGATATTATAAACACTTTTGTTCCAACAAGTTTCAAAATTGAGAATAGAAAAGTCCTAGAAAAATATACTAAAACTGAAGCAAGAATAAAAAAATCTTAGTTGTCTTACTATAAAACCTTTTATATTA